GGATTAAGGAAATGCTACATGTCTGCTAGACTTCATTTGGTTAACGCAGTTCATCAAGCATCCTTTGCGCACCTGTTTTGTGCTGAGCACAGAGAGTGAGTAAAAGCCAGCCCTACCTTCGGGTAACTGCAGTCTGGGGTTAGAGCTGAGCTCGGGTCCTGCCTCCTTGCCCTGCAGCCACACAGCCTGGTTTGAATCTCCCCTGCCCATCTCGCCAGCTCCGTGACCGAGGGCCAGGTGCTTGACCTCTGTGACCTTCGTTTCCTCATCTGTAAAATGGAGAGAGCAAAAGCATCCACCTGGTGGGCGTACTGTGAGGATGAAGGCTGTGATGTCTCTGAGAATGGTGTCCGGCCACGCCACATGCTCAGTGGCCGTCAGCTGCTGTGATGTGTTCTCAGGGGATGGGACACGGTGCTGTGGAGAGAGACCCAACCCACGGAGGTCGGGGAGGCTTATCGATGAGTTTGTCTTGGGTGGGATGGGGGTCCCTGAGTCAGCCATGGGCAGAGGAAAGGAAAGGCATGTCCACTGGGGATGAGAAAAGCCTGGCACACCCTGGCAGCCCAGCAGGCAATAGAGCTGGAGACAAACGGAGGTGGCGAATGGGATCTTCTCTCGGGCAGGAAACGGGAATTTGTTCTGGAAAGGCCAGCAAGCAGGCATTTTCAGTTTTGCAGGCCACAGGGTTTCTGTCATGACTCCACTCGGCCACCATAGCACAGAAGAGCCACGGACAATAAATGAGTGGGTGTGGCCGTGCACCCATCAAACCTCCCACATGGACACTGAAAACTGAATTCCATGTAATTTCTGTGGCACCAAATACTGTGCTCCTTTTGAGGTTTTTTCTCTCAACCATTTAAAAATGTAGAAACCATTCTTGGCTTGCTGGCCATACAAAAGCAGGCATCATGGTTACACCCCGTGCCTCAGTTTCCCCATCTCCAATGAGTGGCTTTTATTGGCACCCACTGCACAGCACTGACACAGAACCTGGCAAACAGCACGTGCTCGAGAAGTGCAGGTGGCCTGAGGGCATGTTGCAAAATGAAAGCAATGGGAGACTCGTTAAAACCAAGCAAACAGACCAGCTTCGAGTCAACAGGAAAGATGACGCCAGGGGAACTGACCCATTCCGGGCCAAGGTCGGCGTTGGGCAACACTGAAGAGCCTATTGCTCTCCGTTAATTGAGCCACCCACGCGGGGCTTGCGTTTTCCTGAGAAACAAGTCCCAAAGTCCTTGGGGGCCTCCCACAGTCCCCTGGAGGGTCTCTGACACCATGTCCAGGGCAGGAGAAAAGAAGATGGGCCTGGGACGGGGTGCTGGGCCAGGAAGCAGGTGCGGGCTTTGTGCAGTGTCAGCAAGGACCGCCAAAGGGAGAGAGAACTCAGAGGAGCACCTGTTGGCCACAGTGTGGCCACCTGACTGTCCTCACGGGAATAAACACCAAAAATAGTTCAACAGGACAAGCTGAGTCTCCTAACGGCCGGAAGTCTGTAATGGCCACTATAGGCGATAAGGTCAAAAGGGTAAAGTTAAAATGTACAAAAGGTTACTTTTAAAAAATTGATTTCAGAGAGGAAGGAAGAGGGAGAGAGACAGAAACATCAATGATGAGAGAGAATCATTGATTGGCTGCCTCCTGCACGCCCCCAACTGGGGATTAAGCCCAAACCCAGGCATGTGCCCTGACCAGAAGCAAACCGTGACCTCCTGGTTCATAGGCCAATGCTCAACCACTGAGTTATGCTGGCCGGGCAATGGTTACTTTTTTAATGAAAACATTGGTTCTTTTTTAAATTTTAACCAGTAGGGGATGAAGCTAGAGGTGAGTGCTTTATTCCTTCTGTTAAATATATTGCCACGTATGCTGCATAAATTCACTTCTTTTTCTCTATCTGGGTAAGGATGAGGAGTGAAAACAAGAAGCTGTGAATTAGCCAAATTGTTCCAGAAAAAGCAAGAACCACACACAGGAAGGGGCCCCGGAGAAAAGAGGAAGGAGGAGGGCCCACTAGGGTGCTGCAAGTTGGTAGATTCGCAAGACGCCAAGATGAACTGAGCTAATGGTGCGAACTCAGTTCATCTCCTGGGAGAGAAAACCTGGAACATCTGACTGACCCACTCAGTGAAATGGATTGTAAGACGTGTCGGCGATGCTGGCAGAGCAGGCCTGCTGGGAAAGGCCCCACAAGCATCTCCTCGTGTAGCCTCACGCAACCCTAAGAGAAAGAGTCCCCCATATTACAGATGATCCCCATTGATCCCCACATGATCCCCATTTTACAGATGAGGGACCTGAAGCTCAGAGAGGTGACATGAAGTCGGCGTGGCTCCAACCAACCCACGCCCGACTCAGCCCTCCGCATCTCAGAGGTGCTCAGAAAGATGCTAATTGCATCTGGCCTTGTACCTCCGAGAAGCAAAATGAGCTCTTCGTCCCTGAACAATGAGTGCTGCTCCCCAAGTCTTCCTCCTGCTCAGCCCCCTGGGACCATGGGAAAGGTTTCCCAGGTCCAGAAACACATCCAAAGATCATACGATGGCTGGCATCCCCTTAGGGTCCACCTGTGCCTGAGATGGCCCAGATCTTACATGTCATCATCTCCCTGACTCTTCACAATCCTGGCAGAAGTGACCATCCTCTCCTCCATCTCACAGACGGGAAACTGGGGCACAGAGAGGTAAAGTAGCTAAGAGCTCACAAAAAGACAGGGGTGGAGTTAAGGGTTGAACTTAGATGCTTAGCTTCCAAGCCCATGCCTGGGTCACACAGGCCAGACATGGCAGGAGCAGCAGGTGACATGCAGGACTGCCCGGGCCGGGAGGGGCCATCTAAAGTCCCCCTGGTGAATGACAGCTTTGTGCAAGGCAACTTCCTGCCCCAGTTTCCTGCCCCTCCCGGGCCTGCTGCCTCCACCAGCCACCCAGACCTCCTTCCTCCCAGACGAGCAGAGACGGGACGCTGTGCTCCAGGTGCACATGGCCTGTGTGCTGTGGCCCTCAGCACCCCAGGGCCCCGAGGAGCAGGAGCAGGAGGGGGAGAACGGGCCACTGCAGGAGGTGTGACTGCCAACAAAGCGTCGGAAACTGGAGGTAGAGCAGGCCATACCCTCCTACTAACCCCCAGGCTACTGGGCTAAGGGGCCGAGATTGGACATTGCCATCCAGTGCAAGAGTTGGGAGGGACAGCTGGTCTTGGAGCTCCATTGTGAAGATGGAGAAACTGAGGTACAGGAAAGAGAAGAAATGCCCATGAGGTATGGAGGGCAGGCTCACCTCAGCCACGGCCTGGCTCCCTCAGCTTCCAGTGGACCTAGAGCCTGGGGGGAGTTGCCCATTCTGCCAGCTCAGGGGAAGAGTCGGGGCCCTGCAGCCAGACTGTGAAATGGGGGGTCAGGAGGATATGAGGGAGGGGATCCTCCCTTTCTGGGCTCAGTTCTGCTCCTGCATGAGGAGGGGTGACAGAGAGGACTGCACAAGAGAGCCGGGAGGACAGCTTCTGGAAAGCCCCTCACCCACCTCGAATGACACCAGGGAGGGCAGGGGCGGGCAACATCATAAGGGCTTACTGTGCGCACAGCACTGGGCTCAGGCTCTGAGCTGGCCGTGAACGGCTGCTTTGAATCCTCGCAGAGGTGCACGGGGGTGGGTGCTGTCCTCATCCCTATTTTACAGATGGGAAACTGAGCCACGAGGAGGTCAAGGCTTGCCTGAGACCTCACAACCAATGAAGGGGGAGCTGGGTTCCGGTCTGAACCGTGTGCAAGGGGAACCTGCAGGTCATTCACCTGGCAGAGCCCACAGCTGGGACGGGGGCAGTGACAGGAGGGATGAAAATGCACTCATCACTCCATCAAATATCCAGAGAGTAGATGTGCCAGACAGGCAGGGGGTGTGGAGAGTGTGGTGTGGTCTGCCTCAGGCTCTTAAAGGGACCACAGTCAAGTGGGACCCTATGGTCTCAAAGGGACCACAGTCAAGTGGGACCCTATGGTCTCAACCCTGTACCACGCCCCCAACCCCACCAGTGCCCCTCAGGGCCTGCAAAAGCTCCAGAACAGACCACGTCCCCGAGGAAAACCCCAGGTATGTGGGCTGCACAGGTCTGCGGGCAGAAACCAACAGGCCTGTGGCTGCCCAGGAACCGGGCCTCCGGGCTTCAGAGAAGCCTGGAGGGCAGGCTGAGCAGAGGGCTGAGCAGACCAGCTCTTTACAGAAGTCATTCTGCACATCCCCGGCGACCACGCTCGGAAGTGGGACGGAAACACCTCCAACAGCGGCTCTTCCATCTAGAGCAGTGACGGCGAACCTTTTGAGCTCAGCGTGTCAGCATTTTGAAAAACCCTAACTTAACTCTGGTGCCGTGTCGCATATAGAAATTTTTTTATATTTGCAACCGTAGTAAAACAAAGACTTATATTTTTGATATTTATTTTATATATTTAAATGCCATTTAACAAAGAAAAATCAACCAAAAAATGAGTTCGCGTGTCACCTCTGACACGCGTGTCATAGGTTCGCCATCACTGATGTAGACCAACTCTCTCACCCCTCACCTGTGCCCAGGGCCAAACACATCAGCCTAAGGTGGCTGTCGCCACCATCACGCCCCACCTTCGCCTCAGGAAGCTGGCTTAGTGATTTTGAGTGAGCAGCCCCTCCGCTCTGGGCCTCAGTTCCCTGTCTGCCAAATGGGCACATAAGCCGCTGCTCCCACCCCCAGGGCTGCAGTGTGCCTTCAGCAGCAGGTATGTGGAGGCAGCTCAGTGAATGGCAGCTCTCAAAGTGCCTGAGTCATGCCGCCCCACCCAGACGCGGGACGCTGGGGTTTATGAGCAGCACAATGACATCCTTTGGTCTGTAGAGCCGAGGCCTGCGCACCCGGGCGGGGCACACACAGGCAGCGGGGGTGGTGGCTCTGTGTCCAGAAGATGGACTTAGTCCCTGTTTGCTCCTCTGATAACTGAGTTGACCTTGGTTAATATTCACCAGCAGCCTCCCCCAGCGCCCCCTGAGTCTACTGCTTAAATACGGACGAGGACAGGGCTCTGTCTCCTCAGCCTTGGTCACCAACCCCGGCCTGGGACAGTCAATCGTAAGTATGCCTTCCCCGAGGAGAGCTTCTGGAGGGGCCTCAGACAGCCCCGGGGATGCAGGGAGGATGGAGCAGGGTGGGGTGGGCCTCTGTTGTCATAGTAGCAGCATTCCTGGAGGTCCTGTCCTGCCCCCTCAGCTTGCCGGGCCTCCTCAGTACTCACTGGTGAATACTGGCCCTCTGTACACAGAAGTGGGAGTGGGGCCTGGTTCTGGTGGCCTGGGCCCAGGGGGGCATTTCTGTTGGCCCAGCTCCTGTGTCTCTCCTTCTGTTGTCCCCTCCAGGCCTCCCCTCCCCAACCCCTGGGGGGTATCTTTTTCCCCTTCTACAGTTGAGAAGGTTAGGGCCCAGAGAGGGACAGTGAGGAGCCCGGGCTAACGTAGGGGGAGAGGAGCCAGGCCAGACTGGAAGCCCAGAGTTCCAGCCACTCGCGGGCCTCCATCCTCAGCAGAAACGCTCAGAGGAGAACTTGCCAGGCTCAGCCCCGAGGCATCAAAATGGGCCCCCCTGTGCCAGTGGGCTCTGGCCGCCCTCGCATATGGTGTGAGATGGGAAACCCTGGGAGGGGCCCATTGCAGGCGCTCTGAGCTGCGCTCCGGAGCCCTTGCTCCGGCCAGGCGGCATTGAGCTCCTTACTTGCGGTCCAGCCTTTAAGCCTCTCAGCAACCTTCTGAGGTGGTTCCCATGGTTAGTCACATTTTACAGATGCGGACAGTGAGGACAGAGAAGTTCTTCAGCCCCAAATACACACCATCCAGGATCCAAGCCCCACCCACCTAGTTCCAGAACCCACGCCCCTGATCCCATGCCCATGGTCAACATTAATTCTCTTGGGTCTCAGGTACCAGATAGGGAATAGGACACCTGGGCTGGCCTCCCGGCCTCATCGATGCTGGGGGATCCTGGACAGTTATTCGACCTCTCTGTCCTCTTGGGCAAAATGTCAATAATCTTGGCCCTCTTTCTTCTCACCCCACCCCACTGGTCTTGATTGCTACAATGCTAGAAGGACATGATTTTTCAGCCATTGGATTCTGGAGATGAGGTGACAGAGATGACCATGACCAAGGCCACGGCCCCCAGACTCCCACACAGTGCTCTGAAAGGTCCCCAACAAAATCAAGGACAACTGACACTTCTGAGAGCTGACTGTGCGCGGCACATCTTGGCACTTTGCAAGTAGTTAATTGCACAATAACTCTCTGAGGAAGTGCAACCTTATCATTTTCAGAAAATTGAGGTTCAGAGAGGTTAAGTAACTTGTTCAAGGTCACACAGCTGACAGTGGATGAAACTTAGGCATTCTAGCCTCGTAGTCTCTGATCTTAGCCACCAAGCGATGCTGCCCCCTTCATGTGGCCAGGCCAGCTGCGCTGTTTTCTGTTTCAAGGCCTCTGGCTTCAGCTTTATACAGGGAGAAGAGTTAAATGCCAGGTTCTGGAATCAAAATGCCTCGGGTTTGATCCCAGCTCTGTAAGTAATTGGCTCTGTGGTTCTCGATAAGTTACGTAATCTCTGTAGGCCTCCATTTCTCCATCTGTAATATGGAGCTAATGCTAACTCCCACCTCAAAGGGCAGGCTCTGAGAACAGATCATTTAAAATGCCTGAGGTTTACTAAGCCTGATGACAGGGATGCTGATGTGTGCTGGGCACAGGCTTTGGCAGCTCAGAGGTAATAAGTAACTACTTGGAGAATTGACTTTACATTTTCCAAACTCGGAGGTGGGTCTTTGCTGAGCAGGGACCCCTTCCCTGGTCCTGGGCAACATGGCAGGAAGAAGTCGGCCAGTTCTCACGCGTGGCCCTGCCTGTGTGCAGGTGTGGGGGTCCTCCGCACCCACCCCTCGTTTGTTCCTCACCTCCGCCTGTGAGAGATTCTTTTCTCTACTTTGCAGGCAGGAAGCCGAGGCTGAGAAGTGAGGCCACTTGCCCATAAGAGGCAGGGCCGGGTCACACGGGGCTTATTTAGTGCCAGGGTTCAGCAAGTGTTGACCTTGCGGTGCAGTCGCTTCCCTGGACCCCTGGGTCACTCTCGGCCCTTCACTTTATGCTCCTGGGTGGGAACGGTGTGAGATCAGGCAAAAGGGGTGGCGCCCTTCTCCCTCCTCCCTGGAGGGCTGCTCCCACCGGCCTGGAAATGTCACCGTGCCATCGTCCTCGTCTGTGCTGTAAAGCCTGGCCCACAGGCCTCTGGGTACTGCACCACCTACTTTTCATCCCCGGGTGGCTTCCCCAGCATGAAGCTTGGCGGGGGTGGGGGGTTGGGGGGGCGCGCGTGCTGCCTTTGAAAGAAGGGCAAGGAGACAGCAGACATCTTAGACCCTGGTGTTGTAAGGAACAGACTGAAAGGCTAAATGAAGCCAACAGGAGGCTCAAGGCCAACGTCAGGTCCCTCGGGGCCCAGTTCTGACATTCATGGGATCTGAGAACTGAGGACATGGCTGACTGAGTCTGAAGTTCAAGTGCTGGGAAAACCAAGGCTTGTTACAGCTCTGTGACTGGCTCGCTGTGTGGCCTTGGCAAGGCCCTGACCCTCTCTGGGCCTCACCCCCTTACTGTAAAAGAAGGAACCAGATGAGGTGGTGCAGCACCCAGGAAGGTGGACCGGGGGCGATTAGGTGTTCACGCAGCTGCAGCCCCTCCCACCTCAGCCCCACACCAGCCTTGCCACCTTCTTAGAGGCCAGCAGCCCTCTGACTGGGAGGGCACCTCTCCCACCTCTCCCCTCGGGGAGTGCATTCTGCTCCCCAAACCCAGACACCCTGTAATTAAGGGTCCACCTTTAGCACACAGGGACCTCATCTAGGCCGCCCCCACCTCGACTGCTCAGGCGGGGAGAGCAAGGCCCAGGACAAGGACAGGCCAAGTGGACAGTGGTGCCCTGTCAGGGTGGAAGCCACAGCCTCTGGCCCTAAGGCCACTCGGCACATTTAGCGTCCCCACCCTGTTGGCCCAAAGCCTTCCTGATCTGAGTCCTGCAAAGATGGGCGGTTTCTGCCCCCCCGAAGGACATGCCAAATCCAGCGGGAAAGGGGAGGGAGAGGAAGACACAGAACTAACTTAGCGTCTTCAGCTCTAAACCACAGGCGACTCGAGAAAAACAGCCGCCATTAGCTAACGGGGTCTGCCCGTTGGGTTATTTACAAGCCTCCAGGCCAGAAACAAGTGGTGGGGAGGCCAGTTTGTGCCTCATCAGTTTGTTTTCTGGGAAAGAAACCTTTAACAGTCCAAGGGGAGATGAAACCAGCGTTTATTGCCAACTTTCCCCAGGTTTTTCTCATTCCAGCTTCCGGGCCTCCTTTGTCGTTGTGCTCTATGAAAACGGTCTCCGTTCTGTGAGTCAGAGCTAGCTGTGGGCGCAGGGTGTCTCCTCCGCTCAGACCTCAGTGTCCCCAGCTGTGAAGAGGGCAGGTTGTACCCAGCGGTGCAGCTGCTGGGCCGAGGCGGGGGCCTGTCGGAGCAGAGGGAGCTCTGTGGGGAAGGCGGGCTCTGTGTTGCTGTGGGTGGCACTGACTTGGACCGTCACTAGATAGAGTCTGCTCCTGCTGACTCAGCCCAGGCCCGGCTGTCCCCACTGTCTCCCAGCCACGGACCTCTCCCCCCTGCCTGTCCTCAGCAGGCAGCCAGTCTGCCGCCCCCTGGGCTCTCCCTCGTAGAGCTGCTCTCTCAGATCCCCTCGACATAAGATGTGGTGGCCAGACTTATTTCACTAACTTCTCCCAACGGCCTCACTTCCTACATGAGGAAAAGTGAGGGCTAGAGACACGAAATGATTTGTACCTAGAACCCAGGTCTGTCTGAAAAAACAGAGGTACCTCCCCCCATCCCCCGACCACCATACACACACAAACAGACAAACCCCGATACTAGAGAGCCCAGCATCTCTAACGCCCACATCCCCTCTGAGCCCGGGCTGGGGCACGCGGTGACAGGGTGAGCAGGCTGCCCATTCCTGGCTGAGACCTCAGATGCATCCAGAGGGCAGCCCTCCAGAGCAGGAAGCCACCAGGGGCGGGGGCTCCCTGTGAGGGTCCTCAAAGCTCCACCGTGGGCCGGCGGTGTCCTGGGGCAGGATCTCTCCCCTCTGGCAGCAGCCTCGCTGCCCCTTAAGTCACAGGGCTCCACGGCAGCCCTCCTAGGGCCGCTCCAGATCCAGGCACCCCTGGGCCTGGTCGGCCTGCTTTCCTGGCTCTCGGCCTGCCTTCCTCCCTCTGAGTGATGAGATGTACCACGTGTACATCATGCATCCCTCGCCTCAGTTTCCCCCACTATGAGATAGGGGCTTTGGCACTGGCCCCTCAGGGTCACTACAGATGTTAATGGAGGCATCAAGAAGGTGCACTCCACACCCAGGCCATCTGGAGGTGTGATTCCGGTGAGTCATGCCGATGAGGACATAGAATGTGTCTGGCACAGGGCTGCACGAGGTAGATGCTGAATAAACTCTGGTTGCTTTACATGGTGTGAATCAGGGGCCAGGGGGACTCACTGTGTGGCCTGACTTGGGCGTGATGCCCCTTCTCTCCCTCGCAGGACAATGCCATCCTCCATCACGTGGGGCCTCCTCCTGCTGGCAGGCCTGTGCTGCCTGGCCCCTGCCTCCCTCCAGGGAGTCGCTGTCCAGGACACAGATGCAGCTGAGCACGATCATGAGTCCGCCAGCCACAAGATCGCCCCCAACCTGGCCGACTTCGCCTTCAGCCTGTACCGCCAGATGGCCAATCAGTCCACCACCACCAACATCTTCTTCTCCCCAGTGAGCATCGCTACAGCCTTTGCCATGCTCTCCCTGGGGGCCAAGGGCGACACTCACACCCAGATCCTGGAGGGCCTTGATTTCAACCTCACAGAGAGAGCAGAGGCTGACATCCACAGAGGCTTTGAGAATCTCCTCCACACCCTCAACCAGCCAGACAACCAGCTGCAGCTGACCACCGGCAACGGCTTGTTCATCGATGACAGCGTGAAGCTGGTGGATAAGTTTCTGGAGGATGTCAAGAAAACGTATCACTCCAAAGCCTTCTCCGTCAACTTCAAGCACTCCGAAGAAGCCAAGAAACAAATCAACGATTTCGTAGAGAAGGGAACCCAAGGGAAAATTGTGGATCTGGTCCAAGAGCTTTCTCAAGACACAGTGCTTGCCCTGGTGAATTACATCTTCTTTAAAGGTAAGGTGGTGCCACCAGCCTGAGCTGGTTCGCATACAAACATCCAAAAACATTCTCAAACATCAGTTCCTAAGCTTTCCTGGGCGGTGCAGGATGCCATGTGACTATGCATCTGGGCAGGGGGATTCCGTTCTCCCCACACAACCATGAGAAACGCCCCCTGATCAATAAGGTCAGCGAGCGACGGGTCAGCACTCAGAGCGTCATCTTCCCTGCAGGACGCATCAGGCCTCTGTGCCTCTTCCACGCGCCTCGTCAACCCCACCAGGGACAGAGGGACAGTACGCAGTGTGCCCCCCACACAACACAGAGCCAGGCAAACACACTTTAGCAGAGTTTGCAAATGAAGAAGGTCTCCTGGACCACTCTAGTGTCGTGGGAGGAGTGGCAGCTCTAGAGTCAGAAAGACGGGGTTCAAATCCTGCCCCCACCACCGGCAGTGTCTGGCTCTCAGCAAGTCTCTGACCTCTCTGAGGTTCTAGTTTCCTATCTGGAACATGAACCTAATAATCCCTTGCTGCCAGGTTTCTGTGAGGAGTAGCATGTGACAAAGAACATGGGACTACAGGCTCACAACGTGGGTGCTCAACTGAACTTGACTCTCAGCCTGCCTTCCTCCCTGGGAGTGAAGAAAATGCCAGAGACCTGTGGGTCCCAGAGCACATTCTGAGGCTGTTGGAATAGTCCCTGGGAACAGCCTGGGGCAGGGAGGTGAGAGTCAAGGTCAGGGGCTGCTTCCTTCTCTCTGTGGGCTCCTTGACCTGGGGCAGAAAATGCCCTGGAGAGCGCTGAGCCCAGAGTCAGCACATCCTGGGCCCCAGCTGAGCTGTGGGTCTCCAGGCGGGTCCTGTCCCCTGTCCAGCCCCAGTCTCCACCTTCCATCCAATGAGGAAGGGGCTCAGGGGCCCCTGAGACTCCTGTGTGCTCTCACTTGGCAGGATGGTGATGGTCTCTTGGAATAGCAGAGGGGATGCCCAGGCCTCCGTGTCTCACATGTTGGTCCAGGAAAGGCCATTAGAGTAAGAACAAGGGTGATTTCCCTGAATGATAAGAAGCTCGATTCAAGGGGCAGGGAGACTCAGGCAAGGAGCTGCCAAGCATGACTGATGCCAATCATTTTCATTTAGCCCCTTCTTAGCAACCCTCCATTACTAGTAAACAGGCATGAAATACAAGTTCAAATGCTTACTCTGCCCAGCCAGGCTGGCATCCCTGAGCCTCTACAACAGTGGTTCTCAACCTTCCTAAGGCCACACCCTTTAATACAGTTCCTCATGTTGTGGTGACCTCCAACCATAAAATTATTTCCATTGTTGCTGCATAACTGTAATTTTGCGACTGTTATGAATCATAATGTAAATATCTGATATGCAGGATGTATTTTCATTGTTACAAATTGAACATAATGAAAGCATAGTGATTAATCACAAAAACAACATGTAATTATATATGTGTTTTCCGATGGTCTTAGGCGACCTCTGTGAAAGGGTCGTTTGACCCCCAAAGGGTCACGACCCACAGGTTAAGAACCGCTACTCTATAATATAGACAATGTGGACCCTCCTCCAGTCCAGCTTTCTCCCCACTGAAGTCCTGTCAGTGAGCTGAGGATCCTTTCAGCTCCATTTGACAGATGGGGAAACTGAGGCTCAGAGAGAGCCTCTCACACAGGAGGGTCAGGGCTCCTGAGTTCTGCCACAGGTACCTAACCCTTCCCCCTCCTGGCTGTCCTGCACCTTCGCCTCTCTCCAGGCAAATGGGTGGAGCCCTTTAATGCTAGTCATACCACTGAGAAGGACTTCCACGTGGACGAGGCCACCACGGTCAAGGTGCCCATGATGAAGCGCCAGGACAGGTATAACCTGCACTACTGCGACAAGCTCTCCAGCCAGGTGCTGCTCATGGACTATGTGGGCAATGCCACCGCCTTCTTCATCCTGCCCGACGAGGGGAAGCTGCGCCACATGGAGAACCTGCTCACCAAGGAGGACCTCAGCAAGGCCCTAGGAGAGAGACACTACAGGTGACGTCCCTGACCTGCGGCTGGCTTGCCCCTCCGGCCTGGCAGGGGTGGGGGTTGGGGGGATGGGGCGGTGAGAGTGGACCCACACCCTGTGAGCCAAGCAACTGTGCGTGACCTTGAGCTTCCGGACAGAGGCCAGTGTCAGCTCAGGCAGCACCCCCGTGAGAGGGGCAGTGCCCACAGCTCAGGGGGCAAAAGTCCTGTCCATGGGGACTTCCTCCCCAGCACCCACACTGCCCTTCCTGGTGCCAGCAGTGGGTGCAGGGAGAGCAGCACCAACGCGCCCTGAGAGGCAGCAGCTGCATGTGACGTGAAGGATAGAAAGTCCACGCTGCGCAGGGGAAAGGGGGCTTGGAGAGGCCAGAACAGCGAAGGCGCGGTGTGGGGACGCTTCTTGCTCCAAGGCCGCCAGCCGCGTGGTCTCACCGGGCCGGGGGTGAAGTGACACTGGAGCATGCGCCCCAAGTTAGTGCACATCTCTCTGTGCTCACAGATGCCTGTCCTCATACATAGTTCATCACGCACATGGTAAACTACATGTAATTACATAAATGTGTGCAATGCAAACATATAAACAATCAAAAAAATCAGAATGTAAAATAAATGGCTAAAATCAATAACACAGAAAAGAATACATTATAAACGTATATATAAATGAATATACAAATACACAACAGTCTGAGGTGAAAGTTAAGAGAGACGGAGGAAAGCACCACCCAGCAAGCCCAGTCCTGGGTGCCTTCACCAGAGACTGGAACAGAGAGCAAGGAGGGGCTGCATCTCGCTTGGGTCCAAGACGGCCCGAGCACCAGGCAGCTCATTCCTGTCAGACCTTCTCGGGGCCACACTCTGCCCCCAGGAGAAACAAGAGAAGTGAGAGAAATGACCAGAAAAGGAAAACTTTCCATGTTGTAAAATTCCTTTCTTTTCTAACCATCTTGACAGGTCTGCCGATCTGAGTATGCCCAAATTGTCCATTTCTGGAACCTATGATCTGAAAGCCATCCTGGGTGAAATGGGCATCACCAAGGTCTTCAGTAATGGGGCTGACCTCTCGGGGATCAGCGAGGAGGTTCCCCTGAAGGTGTCCAAGGTGAGCCTGTCCCTGGTGTCCACAGGGCAGAATGTGTGCGGGCTGCAGCCCAGGGGAGGGGACGAAGGGGCACAAACACCCCGCAGACCGAGGTCTCTGGGGAAGGCCATTGGACTCACCAAGACTGGGACGTGCTCAGGCGCCCGAGGGAGGGGTGGCCTCCTGTCCTGGCCCTTTAGGGACGTCCTCTGAGGCGGTGTCACTGACCCTCTGTCTCATCTCTGGTCAGGGTCTTCTCCTCATTGGGCCTCGATGGACCCATATTTACAAAGTCAGACCGAGGGTCAGGGATTTCAAAGGAATTCTGCCCCCTCCTCCCTTCCTGTGACACTGGAGCTATTGATGAATCAGCGAGTCCAAGTTAATGAGTGATTTGGGCTAAAGATGCCACTTATCAGGAGAATTGAAAGAAACAACTGCGGCTCAGTACTGGCTACAAACTGAGTGTCTGACTGTGGACTGGACACTAGGAGGGTCCCCACCTATGCCCCGGTCCCCAAGGACCTTACAATCGGACACGAGAAACAAGAGACACGCCCAGGGACAGAAAGTCCAAGTCCAGCTTCTACCTCCTGAGGTGGGGCTGTTTGCAGGGAAGATGAGAATGTTGGTCCAGAGGCGTGAGGGTGCGCAGGTGGAGTCGCAAAGGCCTTGAGAAGTGGAGAGGCCTGGTGTCCCCTGCGGGGGTGGGGGGACCTGGAAGGAGGGACAGCTGGTGGGGACAGGCCCGGGAAGCCTCCCCTCCCTGGCACCACTGCCCTCACCAGCTGAGCTCCCAGGCCGGGGTGGGGTTTGCCTGTGTCGCTCAGACCACAGCTCTGCTCTCTCCCCTCCAGGCCATGCATAAGGCTGTGCTGACCCTGGATGAGAAGGGGACCGAAGCTGCCGGGGCCACATATATGGAAATAATGCCGATGTCGCTTCCCCCGGATATTGAGTTCAACAGGCCCTTCGTCGTGGTCATCTATGATACAGTCACCAAAGCCCCCCTCTTTGTGGGCAAGGTGGTGAATCCCACCCAGAAATAGCTGCCTCTCTGGTTCAGCCCCCACCCAGGCAGGTCCCCTCCGAAGGTGACAATAAAGAGTGACTGGCCTGGCCCAAGCTGGAGTGTGACTTGCCAATCCCTCCTCCTCCTGTCTCTGAGTCTCCCCTCTCTACCTGGGGGGCGGGGAGGGGGGTATGTCACGTACCCACTGTGTTGGTATTTATTAGACACGTACACCGTCCAGCCCCGTGCGGGGCCGGATGTGTGGCTGCTGACACAGCACAGCCTGCTGCCTCTGCCCATCTCCTCAGAAAACCCCAGGTGCCAGTTGTGCCTGGGAAGTGTCCAGGGGGCATTGCATGGCTCAGAGTCCAGCCCGTGGCCCCTCCACCAAGCGTCTGCCGGGTCCTCCTGCCAAGCCCCACCCTGTGGCCCTGGGAGGCCCTCCCCCTGCAGGGCTGCTTGCCCACCACCAGGCCGCCTCCCTGGTGCCCCAGCGCAGGCAGCTCCCACGGGGGTGCTGAGCTGCCGCGTGTCCAGCACAGAGGCAGAGGGAGAAGCCAGGTCCCCTCTCATCCCAGAGTCTCCTGAGCCAGGCCGGGCCCCGGCCATGCACAGGTCTGTCTCTCCAGGAGCCCTTTCCAATGGGCTGGACGGCGAACACCCGCTCTGCCCTTGTCACTCCCCTCCCAGGTCCCTCAGATACGCTGTCCTAGACGCGGGTCTCTTGTCCCAGGTGAAGAAGAGGGTCTCTGGTCGGGTTGGCAACACCCGCTCAAACTCGGCGGGACAGTTACCCCCCAAGACACGTACCCTACGCCCTCCTGTCCCCTCACCATGCGGCCAGGATGTCCTGGGAGGCTCTGCAAAGTCATTACAATGATGCCTTCACCATGGGAGAGAAGTACAGCAAGCAGCGACCCCACCGGCCCGCCTGCCCTCCCCTGGCTGAGCTCTGAAGGAGACACATTTCAACTTGCCTTGTTCCTGCCCCATGGCGTCCCCGTGGTCCTCAGAGGGAGACCACAGCTCCTGGGCCCCAGCTGGAGGCCGTCCTGAGAGCAGCCCCCCACTCCCCACCACACACACACCCTACAAGGGCCAGGAAGCCGAGCTGGCCCCGCAGCCTGGAGGAGCCAGCTCCCTGGGCTCTCGGGAATGGGCTTGGCCTGGGATCGGGGACAAGGCAGAAGGACCCCCATCCCACACTGGCTCAGATGGGAACCAATAGGGTCCATCCATGGGGTGGGCAAAGCATCGGGGCAGCCTTGTCCTAAGAGAGCAGGCCTCAGGCAGGCAGGACGCCATCAGCCTCAGCTTTGCCTATTCTTTCGTGTCCCCTGTGTATCCACCGACCCTCAAACTCAGTCCTCGAAGGACACAGGCTAGGACTCATTACCCCCAATGACAGGTGGGGAGCTAGGGTTCCAGCCGACAGAAGACCCAGGCCTAGAAGGCAGGTCCCTCACTTCGGCCGGGCCGCCCCTACGCCATACATTCCCCAGACCATCTCAGACCTATGACCAATTCCAGCCTCCCAGTCCACGTGGCACCTGCCTCTCTGGCCCACCGCCAGCTGGAGTCACCGGTGCTGGGGCCTGGGCTGGTGCTGGTCAGTCTCCCCTTGAGCGGGGTCCCAGCTCCCCTCTGAAATGGAGAAGAAGACTCTGGGAAGCCGCAGGGACTGCCTGGCAGTGACAGTCACGCCTCTATTGGTTTGCAGGCAAGACACAGCTATTCAATTTTAAGCATAAATAACACACTTTTGAGTTTAAGTGGGAGCTCTGCCCTGACGGGTGGGCACCAGCTGCCCTCCTGTCACTGGGGATGACGATTCCTAGCCTGTGTCCTTCAAGGGCTGATTTTGAGGGTCAGGGGATACATTGGAAAGACTAAAATAAGACCAAGGTCAAGGGGGCTCCAGGCTCTCACACATGTGCACTAACTCAGAAATGGAAACTACAGATTACATATTGATTTCCACCCCAGGGCCCCCTTGGCCCTCTCCACAAGGCCATGGGTGGGTCCTTGTTCAGCAAGAAAATGCAAACAGCCTGGCTGGTGTGGCCAGTGGTTGAGCATCAACCTGTGAGCCAGGAGGTCAGGTTCAATTCCCGGTCAGGGCACATGCCCAGGTTGTGGGCTCATCCCCAGTGTGGGGCGTGCACGAGGCAGTGCTTCTCTCTCATCACTGATGCTTTTCTCTCTCTCCCTCTCCCTCCCTCTCTTCTCTGAAATCAATTTAAATAAATATGTATATATTTATATAAATCACCTAAGAAGCAAGCCTTCAATTATGGCTTAGATTAGAAAGGACCAGGGAAGGCAGAGGGCAACCCTCAGGGAGGAAAAATATTAGAAAGTGCCAGAAAAGGGGTGGTGAGTTCACACCAGGAGGAAATGGCCCAGGTGCTGCGGTGAGCACGTGCCAGGGAATCTGGGGGTGCCCTGAGAAGTCACACGGGAGGGGGGCAATAGCAGGACAGTCCCTCAGGGAGGGCCTGACCGCAGGCGGAGACAAAAGATATGAGCAGGGACGTGTGCTCTCTGAAGCCCAAGCTGCCCCCAAGGCCAGTGCTCCCTGTACCATTATCACTGTGCGATCTGGGAACAAAGGGCACACCATGCAGGGGAAGGTGGGAGCTGCCTGGATGCTTTTTAATGTCACGGTGGGGCTTTCACAGAGAGCACAGCCAACAGAGCAAGTGAGAAGTCTGTATTCACCTTATTCTTATTGAATGTATTGGGGTGACATTGGTTAATAAGACCATACATGTTTCAAGTGTACACTCTGTAACACATCATCTGCATGCCTCCTGCATCGCACACTCATCACCCAAAATCAACTCTCTTTCTGCCCCACATATCCCCTTTCACCCTCCGCCACCTCCCCCACCCCTTTCCCTCCTGCAATCACCACATTGTTATCTAGGGGTTTCTTTCTTTGTTTTTTTTTTCTTTTTTGAAGTAGCCCAAGTGCCCATCAGTAGATGAGTGGATAAAAAAGCTGTGGTACATTTACCAGGGGTGGGGAACCTTTTTTCTGACAAGGGCCATTTGGATTTTTATAACATCATTCGCAGGCCATGCAAAATTATCAACTTAAAAATTAGCCTGCTATATTTGGTCAAACATGTAATTAACTTACCCCTAATGCCTTGGCAGGGCCACACCAAATTATTTCATGGGCCTTATATGGCCCTTGGATTGCATGTTCCCCATCCCTGATTCACACAATGGAATACTACTCAGCCATAAAAAAGGAAGGAAATCTTACTTCGGAGCCAGCATGGATGGACCTGGAGGGTACTGTGCTAAGTGAAATAAGCCAGTCAGAGAAAGATAAATACCATGTGATTTCCCTTATATGTAGAATCTAATGCACAAAATAAACTAACAAACAAAACAGAAACAGACTCACTGATACAGAAAACAGACTGTATGGATTTTTAAAAGCCATTTTCCCCTTAGTCAGCAGTTATCAATAGCCTCAGTATGCTCTGAGTGTGATCACTGTCACTTCCTTTCATCCTGAGGTGACTTTCAGCATTAAAATGTTAGGATGAAAATGCAGTACCACAAAGCAGAAAGAATGCAGGAATCCCAAATCAGCCTCCAATTAGTACAGAACCATGAGCTTTTCCGATGTCTGTGTGCCTCAGTTTCCATCACTGCAAAATGGGGATAACAAGACCCAACTCTAAAGTTTCTTCTGTGGACTATTCTGCAGAGTGTTTTGTAGTGCTGGTTCTTACCAAATATTACACATTTCTCAAGACTGTAGATTCCAGAAGTAATAGTTCGGGGCTAGCTTCCTGCTTCCCTGTCTCGATTCACTGACAAAACTAAGAGAGGAGTAACTTGCAGATTGCAACAATTGGTTACCATGGACCAGGAGCAGGAGCCAGATGGCCTGGGATCTTACACAGACCCCACTGGCACGCTAGCGAGGGTCCACTCCCCCCTCTCCCCCCCCCCCGGCTTCCCACGGGGAGCCTTGGCTTTTCTCACTAGCAAAACAGGGACAATTAAGGTCCCTTGAGCCTTCCTTGAGGCCTTGATGCTTTCAGGGTGGCCAGTGTCATTCTTCCACAGGGTCACACTGAGTCTTGGCACGTGGTGGTGTCTGTGATCTCCCTCCCGCCTGGATAAATGCACTTCGGAGGCCGATTCCACGTCCCGACGTGAGCTTTCCTGGGCCTGGAACCTTGGCAGCCTCAAGCCCAGTGACTTCAGGCGCTGACATTTGTTGAAGGTCAACCATGTCTCAGGCACAGTTCCAGGCTCTGAGTATGTCTTCCTCATTTACTCCTCTCCACAGATCTGTGAGGTGGGCATCAAAGCAAGACAGCCCTTTGGTCTTATATGGCCACGGGCCCTACCACCCCACCCTCAGGTGACCTGCACATGCTGGCTCCACTAGACTAGGCTGCTTCAGGGAGGCACAGCAAGGCCCCGATGGTATCAGGCCCTTGCTGGCTGAGCGCTCAAGGCTCCCAGGCTCATTTCTTGCACGATTGGGGGGGGGGGGGGCGGCGGCGGTTACTGGGCCATGGAACTTCACATCCCCACCCCGAGATGCCCTATAAGTAGGTGAAGCCGTGAGAGACTGGGGCAGCCTGAGAGATGAGTGCAGCCCGGCGAGGCTCTCTGGAAAGCAGGTGAGTTCCACGTGCTGAGTGTGTCACCCTCCCACAAACTCCTCCAGAGCTGCGCTGGGTGAGCGCTGGGGTGCCACGATGGTCACCTCCACTGACAGAGGAGGACACTGAGGCACAGCAGGTTGGGCTGCAGTTGCTGGGTCAGGATAGGAAGCGGGTCAGTGAGCCTTCTCTGTCCTGCTCCGCAGTTGTGGGCTCGCTCCCCTCAGACTACCAGTGCTGTGGGCACAGCTGCTTTCTGCCACTTCTCTCTTCATCCCCTCCCTGTGGCCTCGGTGGCATCACCTGGGATTCTCCCACCTGCCAAGGTAGGGACCCATCCCCTTGGAAGCCCCTTCCCCCTACCCATTCTCTGCCCTGCTTCTTTTTTAAAATTTTTTTATAGTATTTCATGGTGTAGATGTCCACAGCTTTCTTATCCACTCATCTACTGATGGGCACTTGGGCTGTTTCCA